TTTCTGTTGTTTTCTTTCTTGTTTTTCTTCATCTAAAGAGATTTTTATCTAATTGTTCTCCAGGGAAGGGATGCTACAAATCCATTACTCTGGCAACATTTTCTGTTTGATATATTGTTGACTATCATGTTCTCCATGCTGCCTTCTAATTAATGCAGGAATAGTGATTAATTGTTTGCCACCACAAAATAAATAAGATATTTGAGTTTGAAAAAAGGCTACGAATACCACTCTTCAGACTGTTTCAAATTATTTAACCATCAAAATATCAGAAATGAGAATTAAGATGTGGATGATTGTTGTTGTCAGGCAGTTTGAAGGCACTTTCAGAATCCTGGTGATGTCATCAGTGGAGGTAAAGGATGAAAGGTTTGCTTTGCCTCCAACGGTTGCAGAGCTCCTAAAAACCTTCTTGAAGATGGGAACGTGGAATTCAGGGTTTATTTCTCTGGTAGGGTAATGGGGAAAACAATTTCTGGGTACACTAACTTTCTCTGAATACTAAAACCCACAAGTGGTTCAGGTTAATTTAGGTTAATGCCCAGCTCTAATTTTGGAGTGGTTTTTTAAGCTAGATAAGATCTTGCCTTCTCTCTAGCCTGTGGCTTCAGAAATTTTGCATTTTGTGTTCTCTTTGGAGAGCCAAGTGCTCTTGTTTTTAAAGTATTTAAGGTTTTCTTTTTGCTACCACAGGAAAATCCTAATTTGCCACCTAAATCTTGGAGCCAACTTTCCCAGTATAGATCAGTTCAAGACACAGCCTGTGGAGCTTTGCTCCTTGGACTGAATATTTTATGAAGTAGACCCTCATTTATCAGTTTTTGCCCAGAGACTTCCTCTGGGACTTTTAAAGAATTGAGCAGTGATCTTTGTGTCCTCGTTAACAGAAGTATAAATAAAAAAGTAATATTGAAATGATGTTGACAGAGGCTTTCTCCTGTGCATAACAATGTGGTGGAATCAATGGAAATTGGCTTTTCATCCTGGAGAAGTTTGCAGCAGAGTTAGGAACTGATATGATTGCTCAGAGGATGTAAACACTGACAGATTTTTTTAGAGATGAAAGTTTTATGGCCATTTAGGCACAAGTCAGAAAGCTTCATCTTAATTAACACAAATTAAGTGGTGTTCTGAGACTTTGAGAGAAGGAGCAGGTCACAGCCAGGGTTGTTCTTGCATGGGTGTGACCTTCCTGTGCTTCCTTTCCACGAGCACAAAACCCACTGAAATCCTGACTTTTTGCAACAAATGCAATTGTGTTACGTAATTCTGGTAATTAATGATAATTTCAGGTACTGATGGAACCAAGGGAAAGGAAGAGCCCTCCTTGCTCAGAGGTAGCTGAGAATCCACTGATGTTTTGTGGTTTGGTTTGTTTGGGTTTTTTCCTGAGCTCTTCTGTCAGATGCTGAATGATGAGGTAATTTGCTTTGTAATGAGAAGGAAATTCTCACACTGAGCTTTTTATGGGTGTTTTATTAGGGAATCTTTAAGCTTTTCAGAAGCACATGATTTTTGTGTACACAGATAAAGTTGGGCTCCTGCTATGGCTCTTGGTTTCTTTGTGTTCTAATTTGGGTAGAGTGAAGTGTCTTGCAATGAAGATTTCTACAATTTATTTTTTTGTTTTGTTTTGTTTTTACAAAGGCTTCCAATGGGGAAAAAAAGATTAGGGATATAATTGTGATTCATAATTATCTGTGTATGCTCCAGAAGTCTTGGCTGCTGTGCAGGCACAGAGATGCATTATGGATGGAGTGTGAGTGATAAAATTGTTAGCATGTGTTTACATCCTGATAGCAGGTGAAAATAGAGCTATCAGTGGGAATGACTTACTGCTATTAAAGCTGAATTTCTGTCTTCAGTTAATAAGTCCTGTTTGCATTGCCACAGTTCAGTTCAGAGAATGCTCTATTATGAATGAGCTGGGAGATTAGAAACTAAGAGCTCTTGTGCTGCCTTCATTAAAGATGACACCGTGACTCAAGTCTTCTCTTCTAACATGTTAAAGCAGATTTTAGCCTGGTGGTTCCTCAAGCCAGAATCCTGCTCTGCAATGTTTTACAAGAAAATGTGGTAAAAACGAGCTTCCAAATAAAGTCCTTTCTCCTACTTGAACAAGCACCTTTAAACTTGCCAGTGAAAAAAATCTGTGGTTTTTGGTTTGGTTTAGAGCGTCGAGAACAAAACCAAGTTTAGAGTTTTTAAATGAGCTCTCGGTCAAGCTTCCATCTCTTTTCAGGAAAACTGCTGGAATTAAGCATTGCTGGTACACAGAGCTGACACAGCTCAGATTCCTCACTAGTTTTTGTCATGAGGTAATGTTGGCATATCTGACTCTGCTCCCCTGGAATGAGGCTCCATCAGGACATTTCCAGGGGATCTTTTAAACTACTGATATTTTACAGGTGGGAAGGTTGGATGAAGCACACAGAGTCTGTCAGTAACTTTGTTAATATTGCATGGTCTGTGACTGGGAACTATTGTCTTTACAGCTCTGCTTTGTCTTTACAAAATTAAGCACGGTTGAAATACTCAATTCTCTCTTTGCTCACCCCGTTCATCCGTCTTGCTGACATCCCTTTTTCTTGCAGGCCATTTGTTAAAGACATTTCTTACTTGCAGTTTGGTACTTAATAGATAAAAAATAATAATGTTGAAATTACAGTGTCTATTTCTAGAGTGGTGCTTTAAAATATCAACTTTCAGCAGCAGTACTGGGGATTTTTAGTGCTTACTGTGGTTATTTCTCATGTGAGTGTGCAACAACTGTGGAGAACTGGGAGCTCTGTCTCCAAAAATAGGCTGCAAATCTGGAATTGTCAAAGCATTTTTCTTTTTTTTTACGACTTTTTGATCATTTTTGGGGTTGTATTATGTAAAATTGTTTCCAAAGGATCCACAAAATAAATTTGTACATTTATATGTATTTCTTTCTGGTGAGCTGCTCACGACAGCAATCTGCTGACTCCACGGCAATTCATGTTTTTCTAAAATTTTTAGACTGTGCTCAATAATTCAGTAATGTGCCATTATTACCTATTTAATGTATTCTTGCCATTAAACTTTCATTTCCTTTTGTGCAGTTAAATGTCACTGAAGACTGAGCTGTACCAGGTTTATCTCAAGATGAGCGACTCAGCAGTCCAAGCTTGGAATTCTAATCAAGCAGGTTAAACTTGTGTTCAATAAACTGAGAATTAGGTATTGCTGCTGCTGTGGCACAATATGGGTAGATATTGTTTCAAAATCTTGATTTTATATGAATTAATATCCATCACTGTGTTGGTTCCTGTTTCTCAGTGAGCTTCACGAGCTGCCAGCCTTGCTCTTACACCACCGAGGCTTTAATTGGGAGGATTTCTTGGAAAACTTGGTATTGCTAAAGTTTTCAATCATACTTTTAAGAACCAATTTTTAAATGTTTATTTATGTATTCTCCCATTAGTTAAAGTGGGCTAATCCAGGTGGAATATTTGGCCTCTTTCCCATGGAAGGTATTTTCAGCTTAGCTGTGCTTGCCTGTGGCTCGTGCAGTGACACTTTTGGTACCTCTCAGGTTCTCACAGCATCCAAGTGAAACGTGAATAGAGCATCCACCTGAATTCCCAGGCTCAGTTCTTTGGGTTCAGTCTGGTGTCAGAAAGAAATGGGGTTTTATTTCAGATTTCTCCATGTCCCTGTTTAGTTTGCAGGTTGTTGTTCTGCAGTGGGGAGTAATTAGAAAGGAGGCCCAGGCAGGCTCTAAACGAGAGAGGCTGGAGCAGAGCTGTGCCCTGGCAGCAGCCAGAATTCCCAGGGAAGGAGCTGTTCCAAGGAAAAGCCACGAGGAGCTGGGCTGCAGGGTTTCTGTAGCCCAGGGAGTCACTGGTGTCTTTTATTCTGGGGTTTGATGTGTGCAGCAAACGCTTTCATCAGCCCCAGTTCTCTGTCAGCAGAGCTGGTTTAATCCTGGAGCAGATGTGTTTTTTTCCCAGTGATTTGTGACTTTGTGGCTCCAAACAACCCCAGAGAAGAAAAGAGCAGACTAACATGCACTTGCTTTGAGGCAAACCAATATTTCCTTTAGTAGCTTGCACCCTTCCTCTATTTGCAAAATAATTGTTAATTTTTTTTATGGTTTTTTTTTTCACATAGGGAGAAAAAAAAGCACCACATTTTTCTATTTTAAAGCATTATGTCAAACTTTTAATGATGGCTGCTGGGATGAAAGTCAATCTCAGTCTCATTTCTAGGCTTCCACACTTCCTAAGGAAAAAAAAAACAAGACTTCTGTTGTTCCATGGTGTTTTTCTCAGTAATAATTTCTCAAAGCTTTTGTCAGTTTGCTGGGACGAGTGGGTGGATATTTCATTTTTCTAAGTTTGGTGAAATTACAGAGTTGAGATTGTGCCTCAAAAAAGGGAACCTAATACAGGCAGCCTGAGGCATGAGCTGCATGGCTGGGCAGGAAAGAATCCACAAAGAATTCTGTAATAAAAGGCAAAGAAAATTAGATGTCGCAATGTATGATTGTGTCATTGATAGTTCTGCACATTTTACATATAAATATATGTGAGGTGGGGGACATGACTTCACTTGAGCAGTGAAATCATAGATTCCCACAGCAAACTAAATTTCACTGGGTGTTTTCATAGAATTCATTTTATAAAATCGTTCATCTCTTCAAATAAAAATGGCCACAGTATTTAAAAATTTTATAGAGCAAGTTGTATTCTCTGTCAGTGGCAAATCTTCACCATTGGAAAGGGATCATTTATGGTATGAACTTCTACCATTAATAATCTTAATTCATCAAATGATGAGATCAATAATATTGCTGTTAATATTAACTCATAAAAATGTCATATTTGGAAGCAGAACAGCACCTGCAGATTTTGCAGATGGAACCTTTGTCCTGAGATCTCTTTCCCTGGGGACTGCTTCCTTTATTTACTGTGGTTTTATTTTTATTCCTTTATTTGTGCTGCTTTGAGTCATTTTCCTTAACAAAACCTCACAGCTTTGCTGAGAGTGCCCGAGAGCAATATGAGAAACTGTCCAACATGCACAACAACATGACAAAATTGTATGAAAATTTGGGAGAATACTTCACCTTTGATCCCAAAGCAATAAGCATAGAAGAATTCTTTGGCGATCTGAGCAACTTCAGAACTCTGTTTTTGGTGAGTAATACCTGCAAAATGTTGTATATTTTCTTATATCTTTTTTTTCTCCCAGTTTTAATTCTTTCCTTGTCCTTCTATTTTTAATGTTGTGCTTAATTTTGTGTTTTGTTCCATGGCAGGAAACGTTTCCAGAATTATTTTACATTTTGGTCATGACATATTGTTCTCCAATGTGTAACTTGACAACTCAACTGTGGATAAGATTGAGGCAAACTTAATCCAAATTTGATATTTTAGCAATATAATCAATCAGTTTTTATGGACCAGGGCAATCATTAAAAGTTGACAGTGGAACAATTTTAATTTTTTTTTTTCTGTAAGGGGCAGAAAAATGTACAAAACATAATTAAGATTTTCTGCAGCATCTTGATGCTTGCAAGAAGTTTCCCCAGAGAAAAATACTCTGAAATTCCTTTAACCTGTGGGATCTATTTTGAAAAAGCAATGAGTACTGATAAGAATTCAGAAGAATCAGAGAAGAGTGAGGGAAGAGAACATCTCCAAACATTCCCTACAAGTGTTAAATTTGTCCACTTCACATTGCTCTAATACCTCCCTGCTTTCTCTCAGCTGTCCCAGAAACTTCTCTTAGTATTTTGGTGATTGGCTGAAGTATAATTCCAAATATTTTTTAAATATTGACAGTTCATTTTTTCCTGTTCAGCGTTCTTTCCTATTCTTGCTAGTGGCTGGCTGTAGAGCAAAGCCCCTTCCTTGTGCCATGAGCCAGTTCAGTGTCGAGGTTCCAAAGTCCTTCAGCTTGCTGCAGCATCACAGGAATTAAGTAAAGCATTTCCACAGGATTTTCCTTTGCCAGTGGAACAGGAGTCAAATTGGAGCCTGGAGAATAAAGAAAAATGTGAATTCTCCTGGAGCTGTCAACTGCAGAGAAATTGAATAAAGAGTAGCAAAAGGGGTGGTTTTTTATGGGTTTTCTTTTTTCCTGTTTGCAATTAAGGATCCACTAATAATATAGATAATATAATAATAATATATATAATAATAATATCTCTTTAATATATAGAACTCCGAAGAAGAAATATTTTTTTAGGTTTTTAGTCCTTTATCCCATTGAAAGTAAACAGAAATTGTGATTGTCCTTGAGGACAACTTCAACCTGATACAACATGAAGCCCAAAAGGATCAGGCTCTTACCAAATAATGATTAATCATTTGCCTGGAGCCAGATGCCAGTTAGTTCTTTTCCATTTGTGTTCTTTATCTTGCAGTCTCACACTCTGTGTCAAGTGACCTGTAATGTTTGCAGGCTGTCACTTTTCACAGTGTTTGTTTGTGCTGGTGGCAGAGGATTTAAAAACTTCCACCAAATCTGTCATGCCAACATTTGTAAATGGACATAAACTTATTTTCAATCTGATTGTGCTGTGGAAGTTCTATGGAATATGGACCTCAGCACTAGATAGGAAAATTGCCTTTTTTCTTACCCAGATTTTATTAGATTTTGTTTGCTCTGTGGGCTTCCTCCTAATGCAGATGGTCTTAAAGGTGAATTTTGAGTCTAAAAAAGCAAAGTTGTTTTTGAAGCAGGAGAAGGGATTTTTGGGTATTGTATGAAATGTTTGGTTCTGTGGAGTGATGTTTGTTTTTAATCTGGTAGATCCAGTTTTATCAGTGGTCACTGCTTCCCTCACATTTGTGCAAATGCAGCTCTTTGAATAAGGAATTAAATCTTGAAGCACATTTATAAATGTACCCAGAGAAGAAGAGTTGTGTTCCAGTTTCAGCCTGTATTTAAGCAGATGTGAGAAACTCATCAGGTGGCAGAATGAGAGATGGGCTTGGTAAAACACCAGTGAAATAAATTGTCCTTTTGTATCAGCCCTGGTGTTGATTGATGGCTGCTGTGTGCCCCCAGTGCAACATCCACAAAGTGAAAATCTCCCCAAAATGAGGAGGCACATTAAATGATCAGCAAACTGAACACTTTTTATTGGTGGCCACTACTCTGGGCTTCAGGATTTTGCAAGATTGATGCCCTGGACCAGACAGGACCAGACATTTCTTATGTTGCCTTCATAAAAGCCAGTTTTTACTGCAGTGGATTCAGTAGAGTAGAAATGTACCTGTAAGACCTTTCCTTCTTCCTAATATTCTTTTCTTTATAACTTGCTTCAAAGTAAGTTTCAAGCTCTGTGACTCAGGAGTGTTTTTTCATGGTGGCTTTTTTAAAATGTCCCTAGAATGCAGCAGGTCATTTGCTACAGTAATATAACTCAATGAATAAACAATACATAAATAAATACATAATAAACATCTGATTTACTATGAAATACAATGCATAGTCAGACTAAATTCCCAGCTTTCAAACTCATAAATTGAGTTTGTAATTCAGGAGTGCTTTAAAAGAAAGGCTCTATTTATTCATTGTTCTCTCTGGTTATTTGTCTGGGAATACACTTCATCCCTTCTGCCTAAAAAGTAACAGTTCTTTAATGCAGCCTGAAAGATAACAGTTTCCAGCTAGCAGGAAGCTGGGAAAAAATAAAGAATAATGAGCAAGAAGTATTTTCTTCAGCGAAATTTCCCAAGAGGTGGTACCAAAAGTGAAACACTGTCCTTATTAACAGGCAATATCCAGCAAGCCATTCCTCCCCAAACCCCAAATACAAACCTTTTGTAAGCTCTCTAATTTCTCATCCATCCAGCTAGTGCTGAGCAGAATAGGTTTTAATCATTATCCTGAAGAAGGCAGGAATTAGGGGCAGGCTAGGAAAGGATGCAGGTGGTGGAATTCACATGGGAGGAGTAGCTCAGCTTTATTCACGAGGGGTTAGTGCTGCTGGGTAAGTGCTTTATTCATGATGTAAAACACAAGGATGGCATTTCTCTTGGAAGCTCCCCAAAAGGTGTAAAAATAACTAATAATAAAAGGAATTAAACTGAGTTCAAGTAGACTGTGTTGGCAAGTGTAGCAATAACTGGCTAGATGGAGTTGGGATTTTGTTCTGACCCAGATTGCTCCTCTGTTGAGGTGGTTGCCTTTGTGCATGGGGTAAAAGCACTGGATGCCATATTTCAGGGTAGAGATGCCACTGATTAAAGAATATTTCCAAAAATTATAGGGGAAAACAGGGTCCAGAGGAAACCTTGACCTTAAATTTCCTGATCTTGAAAGGAACGGGATTTAGAAGTTTTCTTTGATTTGTTGTTTTTTTTGTTTTGTTTTATATTCAGTGCTGGTAGCAGTGAGTCCAACTGAGAAATGTCATTATTTCCAGGCATTATCTTTGGTTATTTTTGATATTTAAATGAGGTTTTTGAATCCTGATTCCACTCTGAAAGCAAAGCATGGTTTGGGATTTTGGCAGAGCTCAAGCTGTTGAAAAGCTCTTGTGGAGCAGTGACTTCATTTCCTGCTCTGAGTGTCCCCCCAGGTCCAGAAGAGACCCTCCCCCAGATGTTGTGTGCAGGCTGCAGATGCCAACATCTGCACTTGAATATTTCTGAAAAGATCCTGCCAGAGAATGAACTTGGCTTCTCTAAAATCTCCACATCTTTGTTTCACACGTACAATCTTAGTCTCATCATTCTGTTTGTTCCTAAATCCTATCGGGATAATTTGATAATTGGAATCCGCATTTGTCTTAATTGTGATTTCAGATTGATCACTGCATTATTGCAGCTTCATTTAGCCTGCTGATGTTGGAGTAAATTACAGCTCATCCACTTCCTTAAGTTCACGTTTGCTTGCTTAGCACGTTGAGGAGAATCCCAGCAGGCTGATGGAGCTGGATAATCCTGGCAGGGCACGGAGGGAAGCATCGAGTGGAAGGTGCAGGAAACCTCAGGATAAAAACTGCAGCTGTGTCAGCGTGTCCCTTCAGTGCTGCTTTATTCACATTTGTTATTTCCTTGCAGGGTAAAGCCACACACCCTCTGTAGTCCTTCCTTCCACCAGCCCTGTCTTGGGGGAAGTCTGCAAAATCTTTCCAACCCAGGCGTTTTTATTCTGTTATTTAATTACATTGTGTCTTTATATGCTACAGCGTGTGTAATTCTCACAGTCTCTTGTAAAATCTGTCAAGAATTTCTACCCAGAAACTTTGAGGCATCTCAGCACGTCACATTCAAGGTGCTGCTATTAAGAAGGGATTCAGGCTCATGTGTGAACAGTTCTTTCAGACTTCCCTTAGAATGAATTTTTGTTAAAAGGTCTAAAGGATTGTGCTCACACGATGATGTGCCAAAGCATTGATTTGTCTCTTCCTTGATCCACAAAGATTGCTTTTGGAACAAAACAATAATTGGTCTGCCCTGGGCCTTGGTTTCTCTTTTAGGATTGTACCCAAACAGACCCCATTTGTTATCCTGGGCTTTTCAGGTTGTGTGGTTTTTTGTAAAGGCAGCGACACAGTTTTGTTTTTGTGTGAGTACTTCAGCTCTGTGGCTCTGTCAGGAATACCCTGAATGAGGTGTGTGTGTGTGGTTTCCAAATATTGATGGAAGGGAGCTGGAAAAACAGACCCAAACCTGTCCACTCAAGGGCTACTGAATAATGACTCCAACTTACACACCTGAGTAATTAATTGATACCATGCAGCTTTTCACTGCTAGTGTGAAATTTGGTTTAGCAATCACTGCAAGCCTCTTCTGCCTGGGCAGTTGGAAGTGTTTTTGCATGCCAGCAGCAAACCCCTCTCTCTCCCTGCCCAGACAGCAGCAGCTGCCCTTGGCAAGGTGACATTGGTGTCACTGCTGCAGGAGCCCCTGTCCCAAAGCCCCTCTGCCAGCAGCAATTCAATTTGTCTGCTCCTGGTTAATACCAGCTCCTTACATCTCTTTTCCATTATTTTTGTGGGGATAACAATGTATTTAAATGTGTTATCCTCCAAGGAACACCCATGAAACATCTTCCCTTTACATGTGAACTGATTGCTCAGTCTGCTGTGCTTTAACTCTGAGTTGCTGTAGATTAATTTCCAGTTAATCTGAGTTTGTCCTTCCTGACGATTTATGACCGAAGCAGATTATTTTGCTGGAACTTCAGCTGACATATTTTGCAGTTGCAAGGCAAATTTGGGGGAGGCCTGAGGGATGAGAGGCAGCCCTCATTATTGGTGCATGACCGCTTTGTAGCCAGCTGCATCTTTAATATCCAGAGAGATTTGTGCCTTACAGTTTGTTTTCTTTCTTCTTGTTTTTAATAATTTACCTCCGAGAGCCTATTTACAACCGTGTCGATGTGTGAATATGTTTGTCTGTCAAAACTTAAGATATGTACAGAATGCAAGAGATGCATTAATTTTTTATTTGCTTCTTAAGGAAGCCAAGCTGTAAACTGGCAGTGCTGAGTACCAGAGCTGCACTTCAGTGGATCCTAATAAACACAAGGGGGAACATCAAACTATGTGCTTCTTCAACTAACTCACTTAAAAAGAGATAATATTCCTTCCTGAATCTAGATCTCTGCTAAGAGAGACAATAATTCAGTTTTCTTTTTATTATAACAAAGCAAACCCACACTCAAACTTTCTCTAACTTTTAATTTGCTGTTGAATTAGCAAAACTGCTTGCCCTTATGCACCACCCAAAATAACAAAGGGTCATGAAAAGCACGTCAGTAAAAGGGTTTTAGGCATTTAAATATTTCTGTCTGCTGAGATTCAGTCAAAAATGATTTCTCTTTCTGCATGCACTTGCGTGTTTTCAGAAGACAGCATCTTGATGAGGACATCCAAAATGTGTTCTAAAGCAGCTGAGAAGGCTTTTATTCTTACCAGAGGATTGCTTCTTTGTCTGATTTATAACTGTCAGATTAGTTTACTTTTAATTGCAGAATAAGTTCAGTTGTGTGGTAGATCCCTGTGAACAGCAGTGAGTTCTGTGTGCAACTACACTGCAGTAACAAAACTGATTTTTATTACTTTTTAAAAGCAATGCCAATTACACAGCTTTATTTTTTCAGCCTTCAAACTGATCTTTACCTTTTCAGGTAATTAAGCCTGCAAAACAAAAAAATTTGATTAGTTGGAAAAAAACTGTTAATCTGGAATAGCACTGTTCTGTATTTGAAGAAATCCACTGCAACTCAAATGTTTGGGAGAGAAGAGGTCTGGGGGAGTATAAAAGCATGTCTTGAGAGAGAAAAATAACCCTTGGCAGTAGAACTGTAGAAAATGAAACTGAAAGGATTGATATAATTCAGGCAGAGCAAATGCTGTAGAGAAACCACTGTACACCTGGGTCAAAATTCTCTTTATTTACATTAATCATCAGTCAGTTTTGAGAAACCGTGATCAAATTTGTTAGCAATGTTAATTCAAATCTAAAGTATGTTTATAAATATAGATGAGTATAGATTTATTTTGCTTTCTGCACTGCCTTTGATAGCAGGTGGGAGTATGTTCTTGCCAATGATTTATTTCCAGCTTTCATCTGACTAAATGTATAGCAGTAAATGACATGGCAAATATGGAATGGTTAAGAGTCCAACTGCCTGATGGAGGGTAAGGACAAGCAAGCATATTCCAGGGGTGTAGATAAATTCACACAGAATTATCAGTATTTTGTTACCTTGCTGTTCTTCAAGAAGTTTAAACCTTTATTTTGAATGGATTTTTTTTGGTTTTTTCTGATCACTGTTGGTATCCATTGTGTTTTATGAAGTGCAGCCTGAATTTCCACAGAATCTTCCTTCAGCTAGAACTCGTACAGTTGAGCTGAAAGAGAATTTCCAGATGAAATAACTCCAGAGCTTGTTTAGTTTAGTCCTGGTAGTAAAAGTGATGGAATCTGTGCTGTAATCCCAGTTTGTCAGTGGCTGCTGAGCTTCCAGCACAACCATGACAATTCATATTTGCTTTATCTCCCAAGACTGGGGGTGTTTCCTTCCACTACAGCCTGGGAAGCTGCAGCAGAATGAAATCTCTGAACGTGCAGGAACAGAACTGTCCAAAACCAGAAGGGTTTGGACATTGGGTTTGCCCCTTAGTTCCTTTGTTTCTGAAAGAAAAGGAGTTCTGGGTGTTGCTGGTGCAGCTGGGGTGGGGCAGGGGTGCAGTTCTTGGTGCAGCACCTGGTGCCCAGAGTCTCTGCAAACCAGGGCTGGGATGTGGTGTGTGACCGCAGGAAAGTCCTGAGATGGCTCACTGAAACATTCTGCCCCTTGCCTGAATGAATGTTCTGCGTTTTGGGAGTTTGGGATTTTTAATTTGCTAGTCTGTATAAGTTGCTGCCTCAGAGACTTTTTAGTTATGATCTAAAAATACAGCTATTTTCCATTTCTTCTCCTGTATTTCAGTCATCCAGACTGGTTATTTCAACAAAAAATATTGATGAATTATATTTAAATTTTAGCACCTGAGTTTCAGTCACTTGTAATTGAATTTCAATCATAGTGGAAACTTGGCTTCCTCCCCACTCATCCCTCCTAAGAGCATGGCACAGGTGTAAGGTAAACTTGCAATCTTATTAAGGAAAAATACAAACATGTTGCTGCTGAAAAAAGTTCTTTTTTCCCTTCATCATAAATGCAAAGCTATTTCAGTTTCCATTGCTCTGGTCAATAATGCTGATATGTACAAATAATGTGGCACATTTTGTTCCCTCCAGGATTTCTGAGAGTGCTCCAAATTTTGGGACAAATCCCTGTTGTTTTTCTCTCCTCTCATTTCATATAAACACAATATCTGTGCAAACCAGGTCATTTTGGTTTTCCTCAGCGTACAGACACTGATACTCATTTCCTCTAATGCAGGAGGCATTAAAAGAAAACAACAAAAGAAGAGAATTGGAGGAGAAAACCAAGAGAGCCAAGCTGGCCAAGGAGAAGGCAGAGCGCGAGAGGCTGGAGAGACAGAAGAAGAAGCAGCAGTTGATTGATATGAACAAAGGTAAGGCAGCGTTTTTAGCTGAGAGATTATCATTAAAAAAGGCAAAACCAAGTCAGGAGTAATAAACTGAAGGCTATTTCTCATCAATATGAGCAATACTTGCTGGCTGTTCTGAAAGCTGGAGTAAGCTCTCTTTTCAAAATGGAAAATTCTGTTTTGTTTCAGCCTACCTGCTCATGTCATCCCATTTCTGCCACTTAATGGGTGTAATGTTCATTTTGAGGCATTTTGTTGTGAATTAATGGCTTTTTTGCATTTGTAGCACTTAATTGATAATTTTTTCCTTACGGATTGACTTCTGAGAAGAAGCATCTTCCTTGCTTTGTTGTTAATTCCGTTCTGTAAACACCTCTATAATCAAAGCATTGTGGCAATTAATGTCCTTCTTTTTGGGCTTGGGGGTCTGGGGTAGAATGGATATTCTCCCAGTAGTCCTATTAGGAGCTGGAAAATCTACTTGAGCTCGGAGCCTGAGTACAGAGTGACATTTCAGCAGGATAAAAAGCAATGTGTTGAGCTTGTCAGCTGGGAGCATCTCGAGTTTCACAGGAGGCCTCTCTGAGAGGGAGCAAGGCAGGAAACAGAAGGAATGGGGTGGGCTCAAGATTGATGCTGTGCACATTTCCAGGCTGTAAAATAGAGCCTTGATTCTTTACCTGGCTCCAGAAGGAAACAGAGGTAAAATTGGATTTAGGCAAGAGATTACTTGGAGGTTTTTGTTCAGTTTCTATGAGTTTGTGTTAATCTGCTAATCTGACCCAGCTATAAAAACACCTGTCCTTGTTATCCATTTAACAGGGGAAAATGCTGCAATGGGAGCACAAATCCTGTTATCTCTGGCCTTGCTTGAACTGGCACCGACTCTGCATGGAATATTCTGTAGCAGAAATTCTTTTCTGTGGATGACAACTCTATTATCAGATCATTTAAAGATTAGTCTAATTTCAGTATAGCTATAAACAAAATGTAAAATTTAAACACAGGGGATGCATAAATACATTTCCTTTGTGAAGTTAAACCAGTGAAGGTTTCTAAGGAGACTTTTCTAATCTATTCTTTCAAGCATATGATTAATATTTCTTTAATATCTGCCACCTGAGAAAGAAATGGCAGCACTTTTCTGTGAGTGGGGTAAGAGCCAGCTCAATATCCCTTCATCACCCTCCCTGTGCCAGGAGGGTTTGTTTGAACCAGCACTCGAGACAGTGCAAGCCAGGATGTTTTGTGAGCTGTTGTAAGGAGTGGAAGTGCTGGAACACTTGGATGCTGTTGTCAGTGGATGCTGTTGTCAGTGATTTGGGCTGTGGTTAAGGGCTGGAGCTCTCAGTCTGAAGTTCCAACTTCCAAAATCCAGTCCTGAGAGCAGCACCTTTGTTTTTCTGCATCCTTTTCCAGCAAGTGAGGGGGCACCACTCTCATCAGATGCCTCACTGACAGCATTTTGCTTTCCATCATGGAAGTCTTTTCCTATTAAATGATACAACTAAAGTTTAATTTTGCGTTGTAGTCCCCTCTTAATGAAAATGCAAATATATGAATGTCTTTACATGGCCCAGTGCACCAAAACTGCCACTTAAATAACTGATGTTTGTAAACCTGTGACACAAAGTCAGTTTAATACTTCTAAAATACCTTTTTTCCGATTTTTAAATATTTTTAAATATCCATTTCACTTATTACAACTCTGCTGCTGTGGTAGGAGGAGGGCTAAACCTCCATCCCCACTGCATTCCATGACATTGAAATTCAATTGACTAATTTTGCCAAATAACTGATTTTTTTCTCGATGCAGCTACTTCTGTGTGCTCACTGCTGCTTATATAAATATTTTGTAAATTTGTCTAAGTGAATGTGACACAGCAGACTTAGGGGAAGGAGCAGATGTCCTCTCAAGCTGTCACTTGGACAAGGTGATTTTCACCCAAAGGCTCATTTTAACCTCACCCCCTCTCAGCTCTTCCTCTGCATCTCCCAAAGTCAAATTTGATCTCAGTGCTGCAGCCTTTGAGCTCAGAGCAATTGGCTTCCTGCATTTTCCAGCTTCTTGGCAGCTCTGGAATAAGTATTATAATAATAAGTATTTTTCCCTGTTTTCTGACTATTCAGTGACCACTTTTTTAGGGTCACTGGAGAATCCGGATTAGGTTAGTTATAATTAATTAACTTACAATTAATATCTGTTTCTTGGTGTAAGTGTAGAAATCCAGAGTGTGGCCAGAATTAAGAGCTGTTCTGAATATTTCCTGGTGCTGAGGTAACTCAGACTTTGCCAGTGTTTCAAAGGCCACTTTACTCAGTTTGGTGTTTTTGTGCTTTGTGTGACTGAGCAGCCCCTAAACACTGCATTCAAACTGATAAAAAACCTACTGAACATTCCAAAATGTTTAAAGATGAATGGAAAGATATTTTAAAAAAACCCTATAAAAATGAATATTGCAAAAAGCTATCAAGATTGGTAGCATTAGGTGAAAAGTCCAGGTTTCCTGGTGAAGTTTGGAGGCACAGAAAGGTTTATGCACACACCTACAGAAGTTTCACAGTTCAGATCATGAATAATTCTCTCTCCTTATGGGAGGTGAATTTGGAGAAGTCTGTCATGACTTCCATCTGATTCAACATCTGCAAAATTCTTGCAGCTTTGCTTCTGTGTGCGTGTCTGAAGTAGGGAGAGAAAGAGACTTGTGGAATTCAGCTTCCTGGGAGCTGCAGTGTCTAACTGCAATTCTGATGCAAATGTTATTTAATCAGAAACAGTTCTGCTCTTCATTATATCTGATTACTATGGCAATTAAAAGCACCTTTTAACCACCAGTATTCGGGTAAAAGGCTGAATGAGCGTTCTCAGTCCCAATTAGGGTTGAATTAATTGTTTTGAAGACAGATGAACACCCTCCCCTAGTGCAGATGAAGAGAATGCAGGTGAAGGTCTGTGCTGGAGGTTGATGGATATTCCTGCTTTTCCCATAAAAGATGGTTTTATTCACACTGCTGTGTTCTGGTGTGAGCAGGAGTTCTGCTGGGTTTCATTTCACTGGTGCAGGGTGTAATTCCAGAGGTTGCTTTTGCTGTGGTTTTCTAATGATTCTGTGCTTTTCTGGTTGGTTTGTCTTCCTTCCACGTCCTTTGGCATCAACAGAAATCCATTCTAAGCTTATTACGAGTTACATGTTATTTTGTAAATGTCTTTTTGAGTTTCTGTACTGGCTGCTGATTGCATGGGGTACCTGAGAGGTAAAAACTCGGGTCTTATTTACATTTTAAAGATTATTAGTTTGTGGTGCTGGATGTCAATGAGGCAAATGTTCAGATTCCTTTGGGAAGTCATTATTTTTCATATTGATGTCGATGGTCTGTTTGAATATGCCTCACACCTCCCAAAACCTGAGATTCAGAGAACAAAAAAAATAGATTGAGCTTTGCATTAATGCTTAAAGGTGAATATCTCCACAACCAGGACGAGCTTTGAGTTTTTCTCTTCAGAGCAATTCTGCAAGAATTGCTAAAAAACTTTGTAAGATCTGTTTGTGCAGGAGTTTGAAGATGTTTTGAGAATGGGGCGAGTGTCAGAACTCCTGAACTGCTGCTAAATGGGGCAGAAAGAGCTCAGGAGAAATGCAAATGGATGTGAGAATGGACAGCAAGCTAGAAAGAAATTACAGCTTGAAATTTAATCTCACCTTTAAATGTTTTGCTCTGGAAAAATTTGGTTTTGATAATGAAGATGGCTCATATGGTAGCTTCTGATTGAGTTTATCAGGGGGGAAAAATTATTAGACTGACAAATCTGTGATTGGGATAATTGCAGGGAAGAAAGAAAAATTGCATTCTTTTCTCTTAAAAGAAGGTTTCTTGGGGACTATTTACTGAACAGTAACAAGTGGTAACTTCAGGGAGTTTTCTGTGCAAATTCAGCCTTTCCTTAGAGAAATTATTTGTGTTTCAAACAGTAGGTACTGTTATTAATTTTGAAAGCAGCCAGAATTTTGTTTATCTCAATGTAACTGCTGTATAACAGCTGATATTTTGTAGAACTTACAATGTTAAAAAGCATTTCAGAGATAATTGTTGATCAGCTTTAGTGGGGGAACGTTGAAAATTGGTTCAGGAATCAGGGTGGGATGGGGTGAGGAGCAGAAAACCCTTGGCTCTGTGTAAGGGCTGCTCAGTGATGAGGAAAAACCTCCCTGAATTATCAATTCTGTTTCCAGTTCCAAAACACAGCCCCACACCAGCTGCTGGGAAGAAAATTAACTCTATCCCAGTCAAAACCATCAGCAATATTCAAAAAAACCATAAAAAGTCATCAAGGATGTGCAAGAGCTCCCCTTTCTTCAAAATGTGTTCCCAAAACTCCTTTTTTCCCCTGAAATGTTAGAGCAGTTGTTCAATTATAGGGAACTTTTAAAAGGAAATTATTAACCATGACAAAAGCATTGATGGTTTCGTTCTGCTCCTCACAGAAATTAAAAGCAGCTCAGTGCTGTGCCTTAAATGTCTCCTTTGAACTGGAGCAGGATTTTATTGCCAGGTGTAATTAGTGAGGTATCACATGGGGTTTTTTGGGTTGGGGTTTTTTTTTGGTGAGCTGCACAATCTTCTCCTTCCCACCCAGGGCAACCTCTTCCCATTTGTTCCAGATAATTCACATTTCTGCCTCTTTTAGGTGTGGTCCTTGCAGGAAGAGGCTCCAGGGGCCTCTCAATGAAGCCCCAGCAGACCTTGACCATTGGAACATTTTCTCCCAATAAATAAATATATGTGCATCTCAGACATGGTTTTCAATAGCCTGCCTGTACAAAAAAGCACATTTTTTTTCCTCCTTCTATTAATTTATTTAAGCCTCATCAACAATATTCTTAATTGGTGTGTAAGCAAGGGTTTGCCTTGTTTTGTAAACTGATGTGAGTTTGGGGTTCACCTCTCAGCCACCCTGTCCTAACTCCTTCTCCTTTAATTAAAAAGTAAAGAAGAGTCACGAGACAGCACTCTGCTGCAAACTG